GTCGATGGAAGAGAGGAGGAAGAAGGAGGGAGAGAGGAAGGGGAGGAGGGAGAATGAAGCAAGTAAGGAAACTTAAGAGAGATGAGAACGAGGAAGGAGAAACAAGCAAAGTAGAAAGTGGGGAAATGAGAAATAGAGAGAGGAAAACAAAAGTAAATTTCCATCGTAGAGGAGAGCAAAACATAAAGATTCTCAATCAAATAATAATGCTTGCAATGTTAGGGATTATTATAAAAAAAAATAAAACCATGATAGTAGTGATAACAATTCTAATAATGATAATGAAAATAAAACTGATAACACACACACAAAAAAAACATAACACCAGTTGAACTCTCAAGGAATGGAAAAAGGAAATTAGGGATTATTATAAAAATTAAAACCATAATAGTAATGATAATAATTCTAATAACGATAATGAAAATTAAACTGATAATAAGAAAAAAACGAAAACAACACCAGTTAAATTCACGGAATGGCAAAGAGGAAAAAAAAAGAAGGAAAGACAATAATGAAGAAAAAAAAATAATTGAACCAGTTCCTTCTCGCCATGTGGTACCTCTTCAGTCAGCATTCCAAACAGGGTGTTGTTACCTACAGCACGATCTTGTTCTCGTGTAAATAGTGCCCTTCCTCAATAAGTTCCTCCTTCCCCACTCCCTTTACCCCTACCCTTCCCCTCCTCCTCTTCTTCATCTTCTTCTTCTTCTTCTTCTTCTTCTTCTTCTTCTTCTTCTTCTTCTTCTTCTTCTTCTTCTTCTTCTTCTTCTTCTTCTTCTTCTTCTTCATCACCATCATCATCATCATCATCACTATCTTCCCCTTCCTCTCTCTCCCTCAACCCCTATCCTCCCTTTTTCCATCCCCCCAATCCTCTCATTCCCCACACCCCTCTCTTCCCCAACTCCTTCCATCTTCCCTCCCCTCCCCTTCCCCTTTCCCCTTCCTCCAACATTTCCCCTTCCTCCCTCTGCCTCCCCTTTCCTCTTACCTTTCCCTCCCTTCCCCTTACCCCCTTTCCTCCCTCCCCATCCCCATTCCCTTTCCCTTCCTTTCCCTTCCTCCTCTCCTTCCCCTCCCTCCCTTCCCCACACCCCCTCCTCCTTCCCCATCCCTTCCCTTTCCCTTCCTCCCTCCCCATCCCCATTCCCTTTCCCTTCCTCCTCCCCTCCCTCCCTCCTCTCCCCTCCCTCCCTCCCCTCCCACATACCGGTCTTCCCTGGTATGTTGTGGTATGTTGTTCACCTCGCTCTCGCTCTCATTGTGATGTAGATCTCGATCAAGGTGAGTTAGAGTCGGTCTTGTACGAATGGGTGTGTGTGGGGGGGGGGGTGTTGTGCAGTTAAGAGTGTGTGTGTGTATTTGCTTGTTTGGGTAATCTGCGTGTTAAATGGTGGTAGTTTGGCTTGTTTCGGAGCATTTTGGGTTGTAGTTATGTGGTTAGGAATATTTTTTCTTGTTTTTCTTTTTCTTTCTTTGTTTCTTTTTTCTGTTTATGCTTCGTTATTGTTTTTTTGTAATTGTTGTGTTGGTTTTGATGTGCGTCTGTTCCTCTAAAAATAGCAAATAGCAATGAATCTACTTATTTCTTTTTATTCATATACGTATGTTTATTTTTTTCTCAAATATAGACTGATTTTCCCCCATTCACTTTTTAGCATGGTTATAATTACCTATAATTAATGTTTATGCATGTTTTTTAGAATTCATACATGCATCTAAATCTCTCTATCAAGATGATCCACTTATGCATCTATTTAATCTTATTTAAGAATGAGGAAAGACGGAACAGAATTCCCAGATAATCGGGTCAATCTCCTCTGTATATATATTTTTTTCTTCTTCCTTTTTCTTTTTTTCTTTTTTTTCTTTTTTTTTCTTTTTGTCTTGCGCGTCACACCTGGATTGTGAACTTGACCGAGAGAGCGAATGGAATGCAAGTCTTGGCAAGTCGTTGAGGTGAACTGGATCATCTTCTTTGACTCTGTTTTTTTTCTTCT